ATTAATTTTTTCCAAATATGTGCATAAGACTTATCTAAATACTCACAATCTGTAATATAATTAATATTGTGTAATATATGTTTTGAATGCAATAAAGAATATTTAAATATGGCTCCACTAATAATTGATTTTGAAAAAGTTTGTCGATTATGTCTTCGCGAAGATGATGGACATAGTAAAATGATATCAATATTTGAAGAGCCAGTTCTTGAAGAGACTATAAGAAATTGTGTGCAAATCGAGGTAATTATCTGTTAATCACAAACTTGGTAGGTATTACAACTAGGTATATTTTTTAATTTTTAATTATATTCTCAGGTGTTATTAAATACTGATGAACCAACTAATATATGTACTAGTTGCATATTGAGTTTGGATTCTTGGGGTAAATTCAAATTGCTCTGTGATAATACAAATGCATTCTTACAGCAATACAGACAGGATAAGAACGAGGCTGATCTAGTGGTAATATTATATTTAAATTAACCTTAAAAATAATTTTAGCAACTTCTTAATTTAAAGGCTTATTTAAAGTTAAGTAATAACTTGGGTATGCTTTATAACAAACTGCATTCGATTATTGCTTAGAAAAATTACTTGAATGTCGCATAGGCATTGGGTGATGACTGATGTACTAAATTTATAAGAGGGGTTGTAGCCTTTTATGTTTAGGGTACACAACATATTGCAGGTATTCTAAAAATATACTGGATGGAGGGCTAAAAAAAGTTCCAGGACCCCATCCCCCATTCTACACCTATGCTAATAGGTATTACATATTTAAAATTATTAATATTTAATGCCCCCTGTAGCAGGTTGGACTAGCGTTTACTAAATACGAAATACTACCTATTAATATTTTATAGATTATCATAACTAATGATTTGAAATTATTTTAAGCTTGCAGTCAATTCTGTGTATGTTCACCTGAAATAGTACTAACTCTTAAGTTGTGTAACCTAAATAATTTTAGCCACCCTTAAAAAAATAACTCTGCACTTATGTACGCCATTGTTAATAGATTTATATTTGTTTTTAGTTCAGTTCTGACATAACAAACTTAGTACCAATGGGATTCACACCATCTCAAATGTCAGACTTGAGTATCAGTTTTTTTGAAAGTGATTCCTTATGGAATGGCTTATCACAACCATGGAATGAAAGTGATCTTATATCTACAGTTTCGCCTGTTCCAAAATATATGAAAAAAGTACAGCCACCTGAAGATTTAACTAATGATACCATATCTGGTAAAGAATGTTTGGATATAGCCTTGAGTGTATTAAGCAAAAAAGACACTAATTTTACATACACCCAAGCCCATTGGTGGAATCCCAAAGCTATTTCTATGAAAAAAATACAAAAGGAAAATGAAAAACCTATTTTAAAGAATGGAATATCAATATCAATGACTAAATATAATCGATATCAGCGTAAAACGTATTCCTGTAATGTATGTTCAGAAACATTTTCAAAATTCAATGATCTCATTGTACACGACTCAAGTGTGCACATTGACATGACCAAGAACTATAGTTGCAAAAAGTGTGGAAAATTGTTTTTGTCTGAAGAACGTCTAGAGATACATGAGAATCTTCATAGAGAAAAATCATTTGTTTGTCAAATATGTCAAAAGAAGTTTACTCAACAAAAGACTCTTGATATACATTTGAATGTTCATATTGGTTTATACCCTTGCCAGATATGTGATTTTAAAGCTCAGTCAATGTACAATTTAAAAATTCATGAAAATACTCATTCAAAGGTCAAAGAGCATCATTGCCAGGAGTGTAAAAAGGAGTTTTCAACTGTATCATCATTGCGTAGACACAATCGCCTTGTTCATCAAAAGTTAGTTTGGTTCCGTTGTGATCAATGTGATTACTCTACAAGTCAGCCATCAAATATGAAGTATGATTATAGCTCATAATAAACTTTTTTTAATTATTAATTTTATTTTGTTCATATTTATTATTTTTAGGTATCACAAATCTATCCATGAACCACAAAATTGTATTTGTGATAATTGTGGTGCATGTTTTAAAAACCGAGATTTGTTCATGGTACATAGAAAAACACACGAAGAAGCAAAGTTGAGCTGCTCTCATTGCTCGAAACTGTTTAAAAAAAAGTCACATCTCAAAGAACATTTGAGCAGTTGCTATGCACTGGATCCTAACATAAAGAAATTTAAATGTGATATGTGCGAAAAAAATTTCACGAGAATCAAAAAGTTGTGTGCTCACAAAAATAAATATCATCCAATTATTAATGACATTTAATAAAATAAAAATGCATTTCTTAATATACTAGGATTACCAAGCATCATAAGTTATTGTTTTATATACTTACATTTTAATTTACTTAACACTTTCAATGCCGCTGACGCGTATCCACGTCAACAGAGTTTATTCCAATAGGCCGGTGACGCGTCAAAAACGTATACGTTTATATACGCTATAATTAAATAGGATTTTTTTTAATAAACTCTGAAACTAAGATATAGGCCATTGACAAATAACACTAAATTTAAAGGTAGGGTGGTTTTAGTTTTTGTTTTTTCCGTCGTTTCTGAAATCACGGGCGGAATTGAACGTGTTAAATAATAATTAATTTATAATCATTCCACTCAAAATACTAAATCATTGATTTTTAATTGTTTAATACAATAAAACCATATACTAAAGAAGTAAAAACAATTTTAATCATTTTAATATGTATACTTGATATATTGTAAATAGAGTAAAAAGATTTAAGTATTTGTAATTGTGTATGTATGTACTATGTAGTTAGGGAAGAATTATAAGGTATTATATTTATGTGTGCTGTATTTAAAATGGTATTTTTTTCTTTTAAACACTTAAGCTACAGTGAAAATAATAATATTCATTATTTTATGGACCAATCTTCAAACTATAAAATTTTTGCATTATGAAAAATTTTTTTATTTATAAAATGTAGGTACACATAAAAAATATTAAAATACACTCATGTATAAAATTTGGATGCTGTAGACCATACTGGTCTGATGATTGTTTTGTATAGTAGTAATTTGTTTTTAAGACTCAAGTTAGATTTAAGAAGAGGTTTAAGTAGATGGAATTTATAGTTAAGTTGTTTTCTTTTTTTCTTAGTGTGGTAGACCAGGTTAATCTTTTATCCAGAATGATACCTAGGCATTTAGTTCACTGGTGAAGTGGAATTGGTGTGTTATTGAATTTTTTAATGGAGGGCATTCCATATGTTTTTTAAGAAAAAGTTCATCAGAGCGGAATTGCCTAACTTACGCTTGTAAAAGGTGCTTTTTGTTAATTGAGTTTCTTAGTCTATTGACTACACATAATAAAATATATGTATAACTGTGTACTTGAATCAGTCATTCAGTCACTAAATTGTGCCCTCTATCACTTACAATGAAGCATAATGTTACTAATTTTGGCAGGACCGGTCTATGAGTATAAGTTCTATGATTATAAAATTATAATATAATTCTTATAATCATTAAGAAGCTAATAGTGGTATACATTTTTTATTTCTTAATAAGCAGGTCATTACCCCACTGTTCGTTTAGCCTTCTTTTGGGATTCCCAGGAATAGTTGCATATGATAATTAGGCGATAAGAGGGTTGGGATAGTGAGTAAATCTGTTAAAAACAGGGATGACGTTAGATTTTGAGGAACTCTGGGCAAAATAAATTATATACCACTTATGTAGGACAAGGGCAACTGAATAACTTAGGTACCTATACATCAGGCTACATCAATAAGTCATGGTCTATTAGTTATTACTTATTATTATGATTGTATCAATAGGAGTTTGACTTTGGAAACCCCACTCGCCCACTCCTCCCCCTAAGTCCAAAGAAGTGTTATATTAAAATAATGATATTAATTTACTTTTTATATATTATTTCTACTCTTTCTGGCCTAATCTGTAAATTATTAAAAGGAATTAATGCATTCTCATTTTACATTTTTATGCCTACTTTTTTCTACTATTAAATAAAAATTTAATCATTCAATAAATATAGTGCAAAATACAAATTAAAAAATATTAATGAAGTATACCAGTGTACAGTAACCTTAGGGGCGCTGCTGGGCAATCTCCGCTTGTTCCTGGCGAAAATTTGTGATGATTGAATAACTTTGGGCCGATCACTTATATATATTTTATTATTAGCCCAAAATTGGGCAAAGTTTTATTAGTCCTCCCCTGAGTGGACCTACCCATTATAAACATTTTAAAGCCATAAATATGAAATAATATTGGACCAGCAAAACAAATTGCGTTTTTTTAATAAAATGTTAATATGCAGAGTTTACCTATATAATAATCCATATATTTCAATGTTTTAGCCTTTAGGTATAAATATTTAGTATTTAAACAATTAAACTGTGTGGTGTCAGTGTGTACAATTTGGTATTCATTATTTATAGTTTATAACATTTTAGTCAAGTAGTAGTAGTAATAGCAATCATGGTTAATTTTTTTTAAATTAATTAACCCGCAGCAACTTAGGCCATTGGGGGGGTTGTTTTGAAATGTAGGGGAGAGTACCGTAAGTTTTTTTTGTAAACATGTGTGTTTTTTGGGTTTGGAAAAATTTCAATTGGGCACCCGTAGGTTTCTGCCATGCCCGGTCGGGGTATTATAAAGATTTTGAGATAATTTGCAAGAATAATATAATATAATATAACATACTATATTCTAAAATCAGGAGGAGAAAAACAGAATAACTGAATTAAGTATTTAAATTTATTTATATATCTTATTAACCTACTATCAATACAATTAAAATTAAAAATGATCCTTAGCTGTTAGTTAAAAAAAATAAAAATTCAAAAAATGGTACTTATAAGTTAAAATAATATCTATAGATAAAAAAACATTTTTCTCGTGCACATCTGTTAATTTTCATGTAATTCAAAATAACTATGTAATTAAATGGTCATTATTTTCTATATGCATTATAATTTATAGTATAGAATATAATATTATGCTATAAGCTCTTTTGCATAGCAATTTCAACCGCTTCTTTAATTGATTCAAACACAGGCACTCGCTCTCGTGATGCCAAATCCGCTAGGTAAAGCCGTCCGCGGTTATAGTCGTTGATAGCTGTTTGTGTCAACTAAAAAAACAATTAGCATAAACATTTCTGTGTTTTTATTATTATTATAAATGTAAACCTTTTCACCGCGAACTGTGCAGTAATCTTTACTGAGATTCTGTATACATAACACCATTCTGCAGCCTTTAGCTATACTATATGCTGCCTGCAAATATCATTACAAAATAGTAAATACTAATATTTATTTATTGTTGGATAAAATTTAAATAATGGAATTTACTAGTATCATGGTTGCCAAAGATCTTGAATTGTTTGGAATAACAAATAACAAAGTACGTGCATCTAATAATACTGATAGATCTGTTTTGGATGCTGTGTGATATGTTAAATTAGATTTTCTACAACAAATAAAAAAAAGGTTCACTAGTTAATAGTTATCAAACAAACAACAACATTATTAAAAATGTACTTTATCATGGGAATAGCAATGTCTTCTCTCCACCGAATATCATCACCGCTTTCACCAGCTAGATAAATATCTGTAGTCTTTGAAGACCGTGTGGTTTCGACACTCTCTTGTGATAAGTATAATGGTCTACCTACATTCACACGGTATGAGTGTCCTAAATTTTTTTTAAAATGGTTATTTTACACAGAGTTTCTTTAACATTTAAATAGCTGAATATTATGTTTGATGTTATTATAAGCTATAACTCACCAATTTCAAATCCATTCCTGCGATTGTTTTTATCTGGTAACTGTAGAAATTTAGATGCAATGGCGTAAAATTGGTTGAACGTAAAATAAACTTGGTGGTTACCTCCAACATCTGTAAAAATTTTCAAAGGGTTTGCTATAGACAATTTTTCATTTTCGATTAAATAATCTGTTCTGACTCGTAGGTTTTTATTAAGGTTTATCAGTTCAAAAATGATTATGTTTGTTAAAATGCACGGACTAAGATATTCTAAGTATATACTAAGTAAGTATATACTTAGTCCATGTTAAAATGAAAATTATCACTTTTTGAAATGTAAAATATATAAATGAATGAATGTTCATTTGTAATGAACATGTATAGGATATAAAAATACTTAACTTGGATAAAAAAAAATATAATACTTATAAAACAGATTTCACATACTTTTTTTCAAGACAATTCGAGAACTGTATCTTATTGTAATATAAAACAATATGTCAAGAAATTTTGTTTTGTATACCTTTTGTATCTTGGTGTTCAGATGTCAGGTTTAGCACATCGATTTCGGATAGATTCTGATTGGCCAACAGTTGGATAGCACTTGTCACCTGAATAATAATAATAATAAAAACACACACTCATGCCGTCAGTCGATAACTATAAGTGTGTCGACATCAACCGTAAATCATTATTCGAGTCCTACCCACAACATACATGGGAAATGTTCATCTTCCCTGGTCCTGGTGCATCGACGTTGAACTTGTTAAATGCATCACGTATCTTGCTGAAATGAGACGAGTTACACTATATTATAATAAATGTAGTACCTTTGTAATACCTAAATTTTTCTTTTCAACAAGTTATTAGTTCAAGTTAGTCTCCTGAAAAAACTACCAAGCTAAGTCAAAGGTTATCTTAAGTAAATTTTAATGATTTTATCAAGTTTGAATATGTAAAAAAACATGAAACTTTAGCGTTCAAAGTTATACTTGATCGTATTTTATATTTAACTCTTAAACGAAAACTACTGACAGTTGGCAATAACAAAAATCTCTGCAGGTCACCAATTTATATCTATTAAATGGTCTTAATTTCATAAAACGTAAACTAGCTAATAGTAAACAAATACATAGTAATCAACATTATAAAAAAGCATCACTATTTTTAAAATTAGCTCGCAAAATTTTTTAAATTAGTTTATTATAATTTATAATGATGTATAAGTAGGTTATAACCACCATTGACAACACGCAGTTATGTTTGACTAAAATGATTCGTTAATATTTTATAATATTAGTTAACACTAGTTACCTATTGGCTATTATAGAGTTATTATAGATATAGGTAGGTAGCTAAAAATTACCAAAAATAAATAAAGTCACTTTCCACTTTTAAACTATATCTTTGGTAAGTAATATATTGTAGCAAATACTGTATAGATCATATATATTTTATTCTCACCGGTACGTAGGATTGTCTTCTCCAGTATCATTGCTCTGACGGTTTTTGTCTTTCAGAATCTTGAATTCATAAATAAAACAACAATAATGAACATTAAAAAAAAATTACATTTGAGGTAGTCGTTGTATTTGTTTTACATAGCTGAACTAAAGATTTAAATTTTAGAAGGTGTCAAGCTTAATCTTAATATAATATTCTATTCTATTCTTTACAATTTTAACTTTTGAATCAGCTTCTTACATATTTATTGAGGGGGGAGGAAGAATTTTTCTGACCAGGCCATCATTTTACACATTTAGTGAAAATGCTCATCAACTGAGAACAAATTAATTTAAAGCTGAAATCTGATTCACTTATGGGTATAGCACGGAATTGGTTCCCAGGTAAAATAAATTGTACGAATTGGTTCCCGATAAAAATTAATTATCATTGCGGTAATCTTATATTCTTGTGATATTTTATTAGGTTATAATATGATTATAATGTTAAAGTATTTACAATCAATGGTATTACGATGTCTACAAAGTTTGGGAACAAAATATATCTAATAGTTAACAGATAGCTGAAAAGGAAAAGTTTATTGGTGAAAATATTAAAAAATTAAATGATAGCCAAATTTTAAACTTAGAATTCGTCTAAAATATATTTTGTAAATGCATACTACTTATCTCATTTTTTTTTTTTTTTTTAATATAGTTTATTGTAACTAACCGTCTTATTATGATACCATATTATTGATATTATTATTCTATTATTATTAGCATTGGAAAATACATATTATATATTATATTATAGCGTATATAATTATGAATATAGACTGAATATATAGCAACACTCTTAATCATACCTAGGTGGCTAGGTATTCTAGATATAGACAATAGTAATTCCTTAGTCTGTGTAAAATGGGGAAAAAATTGTTGTTGGTTTAATATATCACAATTTGAAAAGTTGATTTAACATCAGTGCTCGAATTGGGGGGTGAGCAGGGGGACGGAGCTCCACTACTATTTTTATTTTTTTTGCGTACCCCTATTTTTTTTACTTGGACTGGGGGCCGGAACAAACTAATGTCCGAAATAATTTTTATTAAAATGTCGATTTCAATTGATGTCAATTATATAACAAGTTTTACTATTTATCATAACAAAATTATTTTTTATATTAGTTTATTAATTAATTATAATATCACCCTGTGTTTTGCCTATATAGTCAGTAGTTCATAGATCATATTATACAGTCAACAATACAAGTATAATATCATCTAAGAACATAATAAACTGATGTGTGCTAGTACTATCTTAAATCGTGTTCCGAATGAAATGTTATCAGTTTCAGTTATGGTTATCATTTATCGTTGTTTTGGATTTTGGAATCTTTAAATTTAAAATTTTTTTTATACTTATCAAAATACGTGGTCCATTTTGAATCAAAAACTAAAATTATTAATTTTGTTATCTATTTAGTATATAGGTACCCTGAATAAACAGGTAGATTATTATTCATTTTTTTTCTACTTTAACAATGTAAGATGAAATGAAGATAGCAAAAATATATTATACCTATTTGGAATTCAAAATGTATGTAAGGCAGGAGCGTGGGGGGGAAAGGCTCCCACGGGGCTGTTTTGAGTAATTTCACCATTGGAACGCAGTTTTTAAATCGTTGGATTGAGCTCCACTACTTAATTTTTCACAATTCGAGCACTGTTTAACATAAAGTTGATAATACTATCATTATATGAAAGCTCATCGGCACGAATTCGTGTGTTGCCTGTAGATAATCCAGGAACCAATTCGTACGTTACCTGTAGACAACCCGGGAACCAACTCAATAATTGGGAACCATCTCGTAGTCGTGCATTAATGCAAGAGGACTTGGGGTGGACACATATTTAAAATTATCGTGTTAAGGCATAAATAAATATGTATCCACCCTAAGTCCTCCTGATTAATATATTAAATACCTGAATGACATTGTTCAACCCTTCCGGTATGTTATCGAACACCAGCGTCCCCTGGTTGGCAGCGATCTTGTGGAGCGTCGTCAGGGCTTCGCGTATGTCCTCCGCTTCACGGAAAGAAATGGGCTCGCCGGCGACCACGGACCCGACAATCGCGTCTTTCGGATGGATGACCAGCACCAGGTTGTTGTGATTACCAGCAAAATTGGCCGCCTCTACGTCGCTGACCACGTTCCTGGTCTGGCTGTCGATCACGTAGAACAATATCGTCGCGCTCTCCTTGGCAGCGTGTTCGATTTCGATAGAAATCTTGGCTCCAATGGTCCACTTGCTGTAAACCACACGAAACGCAATAAATAAACGGATGTAATAAAAAAGTAACAACTATGTTTAAATTTGATTTCGATAAAAAACAGTTCGTACAAATATCTTATAATACATAAAGGCGTACTTAATCTATAATTAAATTGAATGCCTCCGTTCAGGTCGTTTTTTTATCGCATTGAACGCGCCAGATAATACTATAATAAAATGATAATACAAGTAGTTCGTCAACTACGAGTAAGTACAAGTCATGTTTGAGGGTTATATTGAACTGTTGTCTTGAGGGAAGAATCCATCCATTATTGATGGAACTTCACGACTATATTATATATACCAGAAACATCATTCAAATTATAGATAAAGATTTATACCTAATATTTCATACATTTACGGGCTTACCTTAACTTGTGTTATGTAATAATATGATACATACTAAACATACTTAATATCGAATAGTAATTTATGCATGACACAATTTTTATAAATTTATAAATATTAGAAAAAATGTGCATATTATGCCTTATATAGAGACAAATTCCATGACAATGACAGGTATCTGTACGAACACGTTATATTTTTATATATAATATTATGTAGGTAATATAAATATATATAAATTTAAATTTATTTAGCGAAACGCCATCACGTATGACTTAATCGTTCATTTTACATATAGTAAATACTTATAGCCATTACCTACATGCATTATTATGACTAAATCTAACCCAACAAATGTACTATAGGTACAACTAACAGTTAAAAGACGGAATAACAGATGCTACAAATACATACACAAAAAAAACCCCTCTGAAAATACAACATCACATCCCCCAATTAAGACGCAGCTTATGTCCAAACACGGAAAATATCAATAGTGTTAATCGACTTCTTTGACAGAAAAAACGTATCTTGGTAATCAAGATAGTACTGAAAAGAAAAATTGGTATTTGTAACTACTTACACACGTATCAGCATCTTGTAATTATAAAAATGTACAACCAATCAACAACAACAAATGTTAAAAGTTAAAATTTAAATTGTTGTTGAGTTTTTTAATGATAATAAAAAAAATATTAAGCTTTAAAATAATTAAAGCAATTTATTGTTAACACCTATCTGCTGGTTTTAAATTTAAATTTAAAAGATTAATTTTTTATCTTTAAAATGTTTACAAAAATTAATTGTATCCGTGTTATAAGAACATCGTAATTTATAATGGACTCACAAGCATGGTAACATTTAAGAATAAATATATTTTTTGTGATCAACATTGTACTACGACTGATAAATTATCAGTATCTTTAACGTTTTGAAACAAGAACTTTTCATATAATTAATCTTTGGTCGACGATTTGTATTGAGTGTGATAACAAGGACAGACCATTGATAGAATATTGTCTTAAAAACTTTCAAATACAACCGCTATAATGGTATGTTAAATCATACACGTCACATGACGCCCATATTTAGAAAGGAACAAGTCTTGCGAGTTATAAAGCTAACCTTAAACGCAACGAATAAAACATTAATATAGGTACCACAAACATAATAATATCTATGTGGATACTGGATAAATGAAAATCTACGTTTAGATACCGAGTAGGTAACCGAGAAAGGTTTTGGCAAGTAATGTTTTATATATATTAGGTAGGTATTGAACATTTTGAAAAGAATTATAATAAATATTCATGCGTGAACTTCGTTCATGTTATACCTACGCATAATATTTACAGTTTAATATTATATATATGAATACCAACCGGATTGTAAAATGACACACCGGCATCTTGCAGGTACGGTATGGCCAAGTCTTGACGCCACGTAGTCGGATTGCAGGAGCCGCCAAGGAAAACGTCGTAGCTGTGAGGACTTCCTACATTAAAGGAGGATTCGGCGATTAATGGCAACAGCGTAGAGAATAGGAGTATGCAGAGGGATACCACCGTCGTATTATCATAATCGGACATTATAATATATTTTTTATTTGGCTTACTCGAGTTTTTTTTAATTCCCCTGATGTGTTTCTCTTGATCTTTTTCCAACAGCCGTGAAAACTGCACAGATCTCGGTATCCTGCAGAAGAAAGGTTTATATACTGTTAAAAACGGGTAGTACATCATTATTTTAGCGGCGATCGCCAATATGCGGTACGTGGTATATAGCACACTGCATTACCAATACGGCTATAACCATTGAATTAAACATATGGTGTCCATTGAAGTTTTGTACAATGCCGCATCCATAAGTTAGTATGAATGGATAATAACAGGGATGACTATTACAGACTTGTTTTTTCATAATAAATATAAATAGGTTCTGTATGTCTAAATAGGTACATAATTTTCTATTTGTAGCCAGTGCATTTATTACTAAAAAAGTAATAATTACGTTGTATTACGTTATTTATTAGTGGACAGTTATTGCATGTCTAAGGAATTTCGGTGGCGGGGGCAATACAAATAGTAATTTATGTATATTTTTTAATATTATATACAGTGCTTTGTTGATTACTTTAATTGCGTTATCGCTGGGACTAAAATTGACTCAGTTCTTTATAACTAACACCACAGTCTGCAGTTAATAGTTATGGATATTTCAGAATATTTAGGTAGTACCTTCCTGCCGGCCACTTCTCATTAGCAAATAAGTGAGTATTATTTTTATAAAAGTCGACAGGCGATGTAGATACGGTGTCTTCTCCAGTAAATATACATTTTTCCCAGACTGTCTTCGGTCTAGTGGGACATCCCCCCTTCCGATATATTTTTGATGCGGACATTTTTCCCCATTTTTTTTATAAAGTTTATTATTGACTAAACATATTGAATTTAATAATACAATATTATTTATTATTTAATAAGAAATTATTTTTTTTTAAATAAAATATAAAATAAATACCTAAACATTTTTTTATTTTCATAATTATAATAGATTATAAATGTATACCTACTATGTTTGATCCACTGAAATACTTAAAACAATAAAAAAATAAGTATAAAATAAAATATAATTAATAATTAATAAAAATGGCCAAAAATTCCGACATAAAAAGGTACATTTTGTAAAAAACATTTGATTACTGATTCTTTTGTTATTTCTAAAAACATATTTTATAGCCTTTGTTCATATTTATTTATTTTTTTGTTAAAATGTACCAGTTTGGATATTTAACAATTTAATAATTGCTTTTAAATTTGATTCAAGTAGTTCAGTTGATCAAAAATATACATCTATAATTTATTATATTTATGAACATATTTGAAAATATTAGACAATAGGGAAAAAAATAATTTCATATTAAATAATAAAATAATATTATTAAATGGAAAACTTTAAAAAAAAAAAATGGGGGGAAAATATTTCGGGGGGTAAATGTCCTACTAGACAGAAAACAGTCGGGGGGGGGGGATGTCCGTGATTCGTCTTTTCCACCCAAAACCATATTTTCCAATCACATCGCTATAGTATAAATATGTGCCAGTGTGTGGATATTTCAATAGGTACTCATTACCTACCTCGGGGTCAAATATTGTTCTAACCCCACCACTGTATATAATATTATTAATAATAGTATGTAGGTATAATAATCGTGTGTGTATTATAAGAACTATCTATTATTAAGGATAAACATATTGCCGAGAATAGAAAATGATGTAACCTTTTTAAGTACACGTGACGTGTCGTAAATTAAAATACATAATTACAATGATTTACATGGTTTTTCGCTGGTTGCGTAGTTTAACGTACACACATAATAATTTATAATACAGTTTATTATATATTTTAGTCGTTGTGGAGTAAAACAGATAGTGATGAAAAATAAATGCATCACTGAACTTTTTTCGGAGGATATATTTTAACAAATTACCAAATATAGTAAATTTGCTTGAGAATATAAAAAGTACCTAAATAGTATTAGTACCTATATTATATAATAATATATAGATTCAATATCATATAGAAACATTAAAAACAATTTCAGTGTTATATACATCAATATATCATGTAGGTATTGGACCTCTTTTCAAAAGAATACACCGACACATTAATTTATGGGAATTTGTCCAACTTTACAAAGGAATTATTTTGTGAGTATATCAGAATTATAAATAAACGCGAGTAAATCAAATTATTAGAGAGTACGACAAATGGTAAGTCGTAAGTAAGAACAGTTATTATTATTGCTAGTAAAATGTATTATTATATTTTAATTATTATTTTCAATTTTGTATTATAGCATCACCATGTCGGAGTCACAGTTGATTTTACCTACCAAATTAAAATGTATTAAAAACAAAAAATAACAATCGAAAAACGAAATACGAATATAAGATACAGGAATTTTTTTTCTTTATACGTTTTTCACTATCAATTTGTTTTTAGATTCTGAGTGGAACGATGAATGTAATGATTTTACAATGATGTGTGTGTTTTTTAGATTCTGAGTGAAACGATGAATGTATTTATTTTATAATGATGTGTGGTTTTTTTTTAATTTTTTTTTTTTAAATTTTTATTTTTGTGTCTGTCATCACGTTTTAGGACAGTAAAAGTGCTTGGATTTTCTTCAACAGTATCTTTTCTGATAGGAAAGTGAATCTAGTTAGAAAGGTCAAAAATAAAAATTTCCCAGTAGTTTTCACAAGCGCCGGGCAAAACAACATAAAATTAAGGAAAAACGGAAATTTTTATATTCACTCGATTTCTCATGTAGGTAGCGATTTCCTAATTTTGTTGTAATTCAAAAACGAATAACTGTAGATACATGAACATTTCACTGGACGTTTATATTAGCATTTCCTATACACCATACAATTTTGAAAATATTTTGACTCTTTTTGAGCTGTTTACGGACATTTATAGATTTCAATTTTTTTTAGTTTTTTTTTCTATAAATATCAATAACGTTTTATCTGTTGAGTCAAAAAATGTAAAAATTTAATACGCAAGACTCCTGATATATTGCTAAAATATCATTTGATAAATATTAAAACTACATAGGCACAATTTTTTTTATAAGCATTTAAAGATCGAATTTTGACAAAATTTATCAATCATTGTAATTAATAAATTATAAAATGTTCAGTTTCAATAGCTAAGGATTGCAAATTTAAAACAAAGGTTCTCATAAATAGTTTATACTGTAACCAAAAAATCTAAAAAATATATGAACACAGTTATTTTTTACAGACATTTTAAATTTAAATTTGGACGAAATAACATATTAAAAGGGCGGGCAAGTGGGTGTCGTTCTGCTGTACAGTAGGTTACAAGTGGGTCACTATATAATGCATGATATTAAATTTGAATTCAACGATATAATATCATTGGATAAGAAAAACGATTCTGAGCGGAGACGGTATATGTCCTTCTAGGTATAAGACATATTATATACTTATCTATGGTATTAAAAAAAATTTACGTACAATGAATTCCAAATTAATCATATCACAATATCCATTAGGTACTTATAACGCGTTATACAAAAACAACAAACCCTGATACTATCATAGATATATATAGTAGTATACTTTAGAAGTTTCAAGTACCCACGAATAATATTATACAATCACAACAAAATAACTAAAATAGTTATTCTAGGTTTTTTATTATGTAATTTCGTCCAAATTTGAATTTAAAATGTCTGTAAAAAATAACTGTGTTCATACATTTTTGGATTTTTTGGTTACAGTATGAACTAATATATTTATGAGAACCTTTGTTTTAAATTTTGCAATCCTTAGCTATAAAAACTGAACATTTTATAATTTATTAATTTCAATGATTGATAATTTTCGAGATTTTGATAAATTTTGTCAAAATTCGATCTTTAAATGCTTATAAAAAAAAGATATGTCTATAAGAAAGTCATATTAAATTTTTATGAGCGTTTGAAATTCAAATTTTTACAAAATTGGATATTCACTCGATAGTCGATTTCTCATGCAGCGTTTTCCTTATTTTGTTGTAATTGAAAACGAATAACTGTAGATACATGAAAATTTCACTGAATGTTTATATTAGCATTTCCTATACACTATACAATTTTGAAAATATTTTGACTCTTTTTGAGCTCTTTACGGACATTTTCAGTTTTCAATTTTTTAGTTTTATTTTCTAAAATATCAATAAAGTTTTATCTGTTGGGCCAAAAAGTGTAAAAATTTAATACTCAAGACTCCTGATATATTGTTAAAATATCATTTGAAAAATATTAAAAATACATATGCACAATTTCTTTTTATAAGCATTTATAGATCAAATTTTGACAAAATTTATCAAATTTAAAATTGAATTATTATTTTGTAGTTAAAAATGTATAAAATGTTCAACTTTTATATCTAAGGATTGAATTAAAACCAAGATTCCTCGTAAGTATTTAATTCTGTTACCAAAAAATTTAAAAATACATAAGCACAGTTTATTTTTATAGTCATTTTAAGTTAAAATTTGGACGAAATTACATAATAAAAAAAAGGTGGGCAAGTGGGTGTCGCTCTGCTGTACAGTAGGTTACAAGTGGGTCACTGTATAATGGATGATATTAAATTTGAATTCAACGATATAATATCATTGTATAAGAAAAACAATTCTGAGCGGAGACGGTAGTCGGTCTATGTACCTATAAGACATATTATATACATATCTATGGTATAAAACAAAAAATTGACCTTTAATAGGTACCTATAATAAATTCCAAATTAATCATATCACAATATCCATTATAGGTACTTATAATGCGTTATACATCAACAAAAACCGTGATACAAGTAGAAGTTTCAAGTACCCACGAATAATATTATTCAATCACAACAAAATAACTAAAATAGTTATTCTAGGTTTTTTAATATGTAATTTCGTCCAAATTTGAATATATAATGTCTGTAAAAAATAACTGTGTTCATATATTTTTTAGATTTTTTGGTTACAGTATGAACTATTTATGAGAACCTTTGTTTTGAATTTGCAATCCTTAGCTATAAAAACTAAACATTTTATAATTTATTAATTACGATGATTAATAATTTTCGAGATTTTGAAAAATTCTGTCAAAATTCGATGTTTAAATGCTTATAAAAAAAATTGTGCTTATGTATTTTTAATATTTTTCAACTGATATTGGAACAATATATCAGGAGCCTTGTATTAAATTTTTACACCTTTTGGCCCAACAGATAAAACTTTATTGATATTCATAGAAAAAAAACCTAAAAAAATTGAAAACTTAAAATGTCCGTAAACAGCCCAAAAAGATTCGAAATATTTTCAAAACTGCATTGGGTATAGTAAATGATAATATAAACATTTAGTGAAATTTCCATGTATCTACAGTTATTTGTTTTTGAATTACAACAAAATAAGGAAACCGCTACATGAGAAATCGAGTGAATATCCATGCTGTAAAAATTTGAATTTCAAACGCTCATAAAAATTTAATTTGACACTCCGGTAGAGATTTTTTTATTGATAAAGGTAGACAAACTTATGAGTAATCTTGTATTACATTTTCAAATCTTAGATTTAAAAAGAAAAATTTTTACGAATTCTTAACTCAAAATAATTTGCTAATTTTCGTGATTTTTCCATATTTTGTCAATTTTTGAACTTTAAATGCTTATAAAAAAAAACTGTGACTAACGATTTTTAATATTTTTCATCTGCCCTTGAAACAATAAACTAGGAGCCTTCTATTAAATTTTCAAGTTTTTTTAACCAACAAATAAAATTTTATTGATATTTCTAGAAAAACAACTAAAAAAAAATGAAAAATGAAAATGTCCCTAAACAGTTCAAAATAAATCAAAATATTTTGAAAATGTAATCGTGTATAGAAAATGCAAATATAAACAACCAATGAAAATTTCATGTATCTACGGTCATTTGTTTTAAAGCTACACCAAAAACCAAATTTAATTTTCTGAAAAATCGATTTTGCGTAAAAATTCCCGTTTTTCCTTAATTTTTCTTTTGGTTTTCTTGGCGCTTTTGAAAAGTACTGGGAATTTTAAATTTTGACCTCCCAATGCACCAACGATATTCACTTTCCAATCGAACAAGATACTGAAGTCGAAAATCGAAGCATTATTTCGACTACTTATCGTCTACACAGACACAAATATAAAAAAAAAAAATATAAAAACACTCATCATTGTAAAATCAATACATTCATCGTTCCACTCAGAATCTAAAACCTAGAATAACTATTTTAGTTATTTTGATGTGATTGTATAATATTATTCGTGGGTACTTGAAACTTCTAAAGTACATCTAGTATATCTATGATAGTATCAGAGTTTGTTGTTGATGTATAACGCGTTATAAGTATACATAATGGATACTGAGATATGATTAATTTGGAATTTATTATAGGTGGGAAATTATGGGTTATTTCAAGCTTTATTTTTTTCCAATAATAAAAACTAAATATCTCAATTTTTTTTTGACAATAACTGTTTGCAATCTCATGGAGTAATGCACACATAATCATTAATATTTATATATTTTGTACATACTTAACTTTTGAAATTTTCAAAATATAGGGAGAAATTATGAAAAATTAAAACACTTGACCATTCTTTATTTTCTCTCTTCGTTTTTGGTGATATTCTCTCCTTTTTGCTTTTACAAATTAAACATGCATGTTTTGTCGTTCACAAATTAAAAATTTATGAAATGGTAAAATATATACTTGTTGGATATATATAATATAAATTTAAAAAAAGGTGGGTAAGTGGATGACGCTCTGCTCTACAATGGGTTACAATAGTGGGTCACTGTTTAATTGATGGTATTAAATTAGAATTCAATGATATAAATATGTAATATCATTGTATTAGGTACCCAAAACGAATCTGAGCGGTGACGGTTTGTCAGTGTGGATATTTTATATTCAATTTATATTCTTATTACTTATTATTAATACGGTAACCGGTAAGTTGAATGAATATTATAAAATTACAACAAAATAACTAAAATCGTTATTCTTGCTTACTTAATATTTTACGTTCAGATTATTCTATTTAACTCGGTTATTTTTTATATTAGAATAAATCTATGTATTAACAAATTTAAATGTAAAATTATATTAGAAACTAATAGTATAAGTTACCTATGAGAATTTTAAAGCTATAATATTTTTGTAAAGTGTATTAGATTTAGTACCTATAATAAAAACATGATAGGTTGTTATAGGCACATGTAATGGTTCTCTATAAAAATAGAAAATTTTATTTTATTTTGTTTTTTATGATTGATATTATAAATTATAATTCAAAGCACTAACCAATTAAATGTATCATTATTTTTTAATGTCAACAAATGCTTATGCAATACTACGCACGTATAGTTATATAGTTATATAGATGATAATTAATAAACATTGGCGTGATATATAGTTAAACACAGTGCGCTCTATAGAGATAAAAACTAAACACTTTGAACTGTGATGACTTTGATTATCTATACGCGAATTTACATTTTCGACTAAATATTGAAAATAACTATTGTACCATAAGCCTGACAGTAAATCTATAAGATAAAACAATATACTTAGGTAGTTGTTAGGTACTTATACGATATTACGACATAAGCATATAACCATATTTAAGCTACATATAGGCCATAATATTATATACGCTGTAATAAACTAAGCTAAATTCATTGCTTATTATTTACCCTCTATCCAAGCCATTTTTGAGTTTTCTAGCCAACAAGCAAAATTCACCAAATGTCATATATACCGGCGAACTTCTATTGGCACATTTCATTACGCACTGCATCATTTCAGCGACTGTGAAAATGGAAAAAATTATAAAATGCATCAATGATGTGCGCAAATAAGGCAAATATTGTTGCAAACAAATTACCTTGGACCGAGGTCAGGTATAATCCTAGGTCGTTGAACAGCGCCTGAACTCTGTGGGCCGGAGCGTTCGAATTTTGGGAGCCCACACGCGAATTCCATGCCGAACACAATTCTCTGCAAGACAGAAAAAAAAACACAAATATTTGTATAAATATCATACTGTATAATTGGGTGAAAACAAGAAAGAAAAATCCGGAATCGCCGTCGCGATTGAATTAGATTATTTTTTTATTCATGAATTTTTAATTACATTTGAGTGCAAACAGGAAGAAACCATGTTGACGCTACTAAATCGAGCGACACACAGAGGCAACGGCAATATTTTGTAGACTGTGTAGAATATATAAATAGTATAGTATAGTAGGTACCTATTACAGTACTACCTATACGATAGGAATATAAAATCGTCACATTATAACAAAGTGCAGATTAGATACGAGCGGCCGCGGAGTGTGAGGATTTTTTTTTATACAATCGAATTAACAATATCAGTCATTCAAACTATATAGTGTGTGTACAGAGTATAATCCAATTCTAAATACATATCGGTACACTGTTGGGGAAAAAACTCTATAACAAGAAACAAGTTAATATAAAGATAACATTCATACTTCATATAGTTGAAAAATTAAAAATCTCAATGAAAAAACATTCATTGAATATTCCAATTCTATATGGGATTAATATATTATGCATATTATTGATATATAAAAAAAAAATTGACTACGAAAAAAACTATAGTCCGGTCGCCGAGAAGATGTCGTTGAATCGTTCGCAAATATATACTTAAAAATTCCAAAAATAAAACTTTGAATAGATACCTATTAAAAGAAAAGTGGGGGGTGATCATGGTTTATGATTCACCCTGTGTATGTTAAAAGTTAAATATATAATCAGATGTAGTATGTATCTGATAACTTAATGAAACTATTGTACAAAGTAGCGTGTATACGATGTTGGTTAAAATTTCGATTTCCGGCTATTGTCGTTTGTTTAAAACCTGTGCATACTATTATATAGTACCCATTTAATCAAATCAATCTACTACATATAGTTATAATACAATAATAATATGTGCTTCTCTAACTAATTTATTTAAGATACATTTTATGGTCGGAATTGAAATTCAAAATTACCATTATCGTTATTTTAGATTCTGAGCGGAGCGATGAATGTATTGGTTTTACAATGATGTATGTTTTTGTTTATATTTTTGTGTCTGTCATCACGTTTTAGGACAGTAAAAGTGCTTCGATTTTCTTCAATAGTACCTTTTCTGATAGGAAAGTGAATCTAGTTGGTACTTTGGGGGGTCAAAAGTAAACATTTTCCAGTAGTTTTCACAAGCGCCGGGAAAAACAACATAAAAATTAAGGAAAAACGGGAATTTTTACGCAAATACGATTTTCCAAAAAAACGAATTTGGTTTTTGGTGTAACTTTAAACAAATGACCGTAGATACATGAAATTTTCACTGGTTAGGTTAGGTTAGGTTAGGTTAGGTTACGCGGAAGTAATGCGAAAGCTGTTCCCGCGACGCCGTCGGTTCAAACCGAAAAAAAAAAAAAAAAAAGGTTAGGTTAGGTTAGGTTAGGTTAGGAAAAACGGGAATTTTTACGCAAAATTGGTTTTCCAAAAATCGATTTTGGTTATTGGTGTAACTCTAAAACAAATGAACGTATATACATGAAATTTTCACTGGTTGTTAATATTTGCATTTTCTATACACGATAACATTTTCAAAATATTTTGATTTATTTTGAACTGTTTAGGGACATTTTCATTTTCCATTTTTTTTTTAGTTTTTTTTTTAAAAATATCAATAAAATTTTATTTGTTGGTTGCGAAAGCTTGAAAATTTAATAGAAGGCTCCTAATATGTTGTTTCAAAGGCAGATGAAAAATATTAAAAATCCTTAGTCACAATTTTTTTTTATAAGCATTTAAAGTTCAAAAATTGACAAAATATGGAAAAATCACGAAAATTAGCAAATTATTTTGAGTTAAGAATTCGTAAAAATTTTTCTTTTTAAATCTAAGATTTGAAAATGAAACACAAGATTCTTTATAAGATTATCTACCTTTATCAATAAAAAAATCTCTACCGGACAGTCAAATTAAATTTTTATGAACGTTTGAAATTCAAATTTTTACAACATTGGATTTTCACTCGATTTCTCATGTGGCGATTTCCTTATTTTGTTGTAATTCAAAAACGAATAACTGTAGATACATGAAAATTTCACTGAATGTTTATATTAGCATTTCCTATACACCATACAATTTTGAAAATATTTTGACTCTTTTTGAGCTGTTTACGGACATTTTCAGTTTTCAATTTTTTTAGTTTTTTTTTTTATAATTGTCAATAAAATTTTATTTGGTGGGCCAAAAAGTCTGAAAATTTAATACAAGCTTTCTTATATATTGTTACAATATCAGTTGAAAATTTTTAAAAATACATAGGCACGATTTTTTTTTATAAGCATTTAAAGTTGGAATTTTGACAAAATTTATCAAAATCTCGAAAATTATCAATCGTTGGAATTAAAAAATTATAAAATGTTCAGTTTTTATAACTAAGAGTTGAAAATTTAAAACAAAGATTCTCTTAAATAATTCATACTGTAACCAAAAATCTAAAAAATATATAAACACACTTATGTTTTACAGACATTTTAATTTCAAATTTAGACAAAATTTCATATTTAAACCAAGAATTACGATTTTAGTTATTTTGTTGTGATTGTATAATATTATTCGTGGGTACTTGGAATTTCTAAAGTAATCTACTATATATATCTATGATAGTATCAGGGTTTGTTGTTGGTGTATAACGCGTTATAAGTACCTAATGGATATTGTGATATGATTAATTTGGAATTCATTATAGGTCAATTTTTTTTAATACCATATAGATATGTATATAATATGTCTTATACCTAGAAGGACATACCGTCTCCGCTCAGAATCGTTTTTCTTATACAATGATATTATATCATTGAATTCAAATTTAATACCATCCATTATACAATGACCCACTTGTAACCTACTGTACAGCAGAGCGACACCCACTTGCCCACCTTTTTTGTTTTGTTTTTCCAAAAACAAATAAATTTATCAAATAAATCAAAATATTTGTGTTTAACACTGAGAGTGCAATGATTTGTTTTAAATATTTAAAAAATATAAAATATACATACAAAATATATAAATAAATGTGGAAATCGTCAAAATGCATAAGGAAGATTACACCGTACGTGTGATAAAAGAATAATTAATCACTCAAGTATTTATGTTATTTGTTTGTCTTATTTGAATAGATAAAATGATTATACCTCCTGTTTTCATTTTTAGTGCTTATCATTGTTTATTATTTTATTTTTTTGTATAATTACATACGCATACCACATACGTATAACTTAGACAAGTAAGCATAACGCATCTATAAGGATAGCTTTGAAAACAGGATATTTTTTTGAATATATAGTTATGTATCATGTATGATTTTTGTGCTTAAGTGGTTCCCCTTTCGTAATGATTTGCATTCTCACTAAATTAATTGACAATTTTCCAATATACAACGCATAAAATAAGCAGGTAGATTAAAAATTTTGGAATTTATTAGTATAGCTGGTTTAAATAGTTCATCAATTCTAACCTACTAGTCTACAAGGAGTGTTATGAAAATAGGTACTTATTTCAACATATCCCGTTTGGCTACTCAGAGTGGGCGATCGGGCAAATAAATATATGATATACGTAGGATATAGAAAGAAAACACCAAAAAAATAATAAATCAAATCAAATGAATGTAATATTAAAATAAAATATGATCCATAACAGTTAGTATATCATAATATAATCAATGGTATATAATGTAGCCTGTAGGTAGTTTATGTATTAATCAACAGTCTTTTATAATATACTTATATACTATATTATTATACTCGTACGGTATGAGTCATATAATATACCTACTGCAGGTGGTATAACTTATACAATATTTAAATAGAACTAACCAAAAATATAATTATAATAAATTAGTGACTTGGCGTGGCTCGATAGCTGCTATCAGTCACGCAAAGTGACTGACAGTAAGTATCGGCCGCTGCCACTAGCTCCAGGATGGGTGACCACCGGGGTTCGTATAGTGCGTAAAAACCTTGCCACACATACACGTGTTTGAAACCGTACCAACCGTTCCAACGTAGCTGTATCAACCCCACCAACCTTAAGGCCCAACCTGAGGCTAATGATCTAAGTCGTCAAAGACCGAATCCAATAAAAAAAAAAAATTATAAATATTTTCGTATAGGTTCCATGTATAGATAAGTTAATAAGTAAAAGTGTACATTAGTTAAAACGTATTTATTAACTTTTAGTAAAACCCCCATTAGTAGGAATTATTTCAATTTCAATTATCTCTTAATTTCCTTACCGCACCAGAAATGTGATTGCATGTTTATTAGTCTACAATAATTAATATATCTATAATTTATGAATACCAACATTTGAATGATTTATTTTTGGTTAGGTACTTGAAAAAATAAATGTCTAGCTTAAAATTTAATAAAGTCCTAAAATAGTTATTCCAATTATTTGCTCTTAATATTTTACTTTTCTAATAAGATTTCAATCGATGTATATTTAAGTTATAGTAAGGCTAGCGAAAAATGAGCCACGATTGTAGATCCCCAAGTGGCGTCTTTTCGGTAAGGCTATAGTTTTTAGATAGCCCTACTGAAAAAAGCCACTTGGGGCGCTACAATCGTGGCTCATTTTTCGCTGGCCTTACTATAGTCATTATTAATATATTAATATATTTTTTTTAATCAGACATATTTTCAATTAGTCAGTTTAAATTTATCATAGTCATAACATTCAAAAGTAATATAGCCAAATACGAAATAAGTATTAAGTCTCTAAATTGTACCTACCATATATTTCTACAAAATATTTAATTATTAGCTTTAAATTTGAATTCTCGCCTTAAAAACAATAAATGTATAGTTACTATAAAAATACGAAATTTCAGAAATACATGATTCTATTGGCTTATAAAAAAATTACAAACATTTTTACGGCCGCCCGACCGCCGGGATAAGAAAAAT